AAGGCATTTTGCACAATAAGTTTGGGAGATCTCTTCTCATAGTGTATAGCTAGCTACTTCTATTCGATTATCAATTCGAACAATGAATTTTTGTAATATGAATTTTATCATCGAACTTTTTTTCTTTCAAATTATGTTTTATGCGTTAGAATTTGTTTTTCTTTGCATGAAGGGTTTGAGAATATTTTGATTTTAAATTGAAGATCAATACATACATTACGGAATGAAATTTTAAGTTATCGCTGAAACAATTAAAAAAAACAATAAAAAAAACAAAACAAAGAACACGATAACAGTCTGTTGGTTGGTGAAACTTTTATTATTTGAAAAATAAATCAAATATAAAATAAATTAATAAAATTAATATAAAAAATACATTCAAATACATGAAATATAAAATAAAGGTGGCACTTAAAAAATAGAAGGAGGCTAGTTGTAGCTGGGACTCAAGAAAAAAATAATCAGAATTTCTATTTAGGATATTTTAAGAATAGTTTAAATATTTTTTTATAAAAAAATAAAACAAATTATAAAAAAAAATAATTAGAATTTATGTTTAGGATACTTTAAGGATATTTTAATTTTTTTAATAACAAATAAAAATATTTATATAAAAACTTATTTAGGATACTTCAAGTCTAGTTTAAATATTAAAAACAAATTATAAAAAAAATAATTAGCATTTCTGTTTAGGATACTTGAAGGGTAGTTTAAATTTTTTTTTATATAAAAAGTCAAAAAAATTTATAAAAAAATTATTTATGATATTTCAAGAATAGTTATAATATGTTTTTATAGAAAAAATATAAAAATAATTAATTAACATTTCTGTTTATGATACTTCAAGGGTAATTTAAATGGTGTTTCTATAAAAAATAAAAAACATTTATAAAAAAAATTAATTAGCATTTTTGTTTAAAATACTTCAAGGGTAGTTTAAATGTTTTTTAAAAATTAAAAAATTAATTAGAATTTCTGTTTAAGATGCTTCAAGAGTTGTTAAATGTTTTTTTTTAAAAAAAATAAAAATATTTATAAAAATATTAATTAGCATTTCGGTTTAAGATACTTGAATGGTAGTTTAAATGTCTTTTTTATAAAAATAAAAAATATTTAAAAAAAATTAATTAGTATTTCTGTTTGAGATATAGTTTAAATATTTTTTTAATAACAAATAAAAATATTTATAAAAAAATAATTGAGATTTGTGTTTAGATTTATTAAAGGATAGTTTAAATTGTTTTATAAAAATAGAAAATATTTATAAAAAAAATTATTTAGGATACTTCAAGTGTAATTTAAATGTATTTTTTATAAAATAAAAATAAAACAATAATTAGTATTTCTGTTTAGGATACTTAAAAGGTAATTTAAATGTTTTTTTAAATTAAAATAATTATAAAAAATTACTTAGCATTTCTATTTAGAATACTGCAAGAATAGTTTAAATATTTTTTATAAAAAAAAAATTAATTAACATTTATATTTAGAATAAAAACAAATACCACATATTCCCAATACTTACTGTACATGCGAGCTGATATTGTATGATTTTATTACAAATCTTTCGTTCGGACATGCCCTGAAATGTTAGAAAAAATCCATGCTGGATCACTTTTTTGGGGCTAAATCTGACTACCACCTCCTACGTATTTCTTAAGACTTGTAGGCAGACCACGTCGCATTGCTGGATGAAATGTTTCTCCAAGTCCTCCTATGTATTGCTTAGGACTTCTAGGAGAGAGGCATGAAGAGAAGGAAAAATCAAAAGAATCTCTCCACATGGTTTGCAAACGTACTGTCAATAGTTGTGACTGCGAATTTACAGAAGATCCTTACGAGAATGTCATACGGGAGTGCTGATATGTGACATGCCATGGAATGGTTTGCAGCTATGCCGCTGCTGCTGCTTCAGAGTTACGTTACTATACTAGCTGGCAATTACAAGAATTTCAAGTCCTGAGCAAACACAAAAGCTTGATCGAGTTGGAAAGCCAAGAGGGTTTTGATCTCTCTTTGTGGTCTTTTCAGCCTTTTATTTTTCTCAAGTATTTGCGTACAGATTAACCTTGTCAATGCTAAGCACAAGAAAAGAAAAAAAGAAACAGTTCAAATTTATTGGCGAAAAACTAGACAGAAAACATGTAAAAAGCCAGTACCTAGAATTGCATTACCATAGAACGAAACTTCAAATACTATCACATACAGATCTTACAAGCTCAGGACTCGACTACAATTTTTTATCAAATTTTTATTGACTTGATTCAATTTCCTAGAGCCCTAAATGTCTGACTACACATCACGTAATTAAATGTGATAATTCAAGTTGAAATAAACGGTATGTTCGTATAGTGACTAGGGTAGCTTTTGAAGTCCTTTTTGAGGAAAGCCAAGAGGGTTTCGAGTTGGAAAGCCAAGATGTGAGTTTTACCTGTTTTCCATTTCATGATTCTTCAACTTCCGAAAATCCATTCATGAAATAATTATGGTGTTAGAACAACAAACGTTGATAAAAAGAAGCAAATGATCCAATAGGCGCCCCAAACAGAACAAACCAAACAATCCTACATATGGAGTCTGGATCCAGCTAAAACTGGGCATCCGACCTTCTAAGCCAGTAATAGTAGGCGCAAAAGCCAATGCATGATAAGAAACCATCTTATAAAAGACTACTTTTTCTCCTAATTGTCACACAACATATTGATAATCCTGCATCATATATCTGCATTTTGTCACTTAAAAGTTAGGAGAGACCATGGCAATTTTTCTACCTTGATATGATGGGTCAACTGCATTCACAGTTGTTGAATACTTTGTCCTAGCATCCTTGATCCACCAGTTCCTCAGACTTATCTCTTTCATGTGTGTGTGAACGCAATGCACATGATTGCTTACACCAGTTCCTCAGACTTCTCTCTTTCATGTGTGTGAGCATGATGCACATGATTGCTTGCATGCATGTACTCAGACATGCATGCTTGCCTGTGTCTTAGATGTCCTCAACCATCTTAAGTACGTTGGAGTTGACTTTATTACCTGTTGATTCCTCTCATATGAAATATTTCACCCTGGTTAAGCACCATTTCATGCTTTTTTCTTGCAGGTTTCTTTGCAATGACTGAGCGCAAAATGCATGATAACAGGTTCCAACGGAAATGGGTAATGTGCCCAACATGTCGGCAGCATACTGATTTTGGGAATATTGCGTATGCCGATGATAGACAGGACAAATCTTGTAGTTCTTCCATGCTGGATGCAATTCAAGGCTGTGAAAAAACTGAAGTGTCTTTGGCTGTTCAAGGTTCATATGGAACAAAGGTTTACTTGCTAATTAATGCCTTGAGCAAATTTAAATTCAAATTTATAGTCTTGCAACATGCACATAGTGCACTTAAGACAGCATGTTAGTATTGCATTTCTGTTCTCCTTTTCCCAGAGCATAAACCTTGTTTACTTCTTTTTTGGCACCATAAAGGTTGAAGCAGTCACTAGAAGAATCTTGTGGATAAAGTCTTCAGATCCTAAAGCAAAGGTTCTGGTATTTTCAAGTTGGAATGATGTCCTTGATGTGTTAGAGCATGCTTTCAATGCTAATGAAATCACCTATATCCGGATGAAAGGAGGAAGGTAGATAAATCTCTTGATCATCTTATGTATGTTTTTTTATAGTTCAACCGATCTTCATGGACCTTGATGGGCCAAAAGAAAATATCCATTAATAATAAATTTGGAGTAAAGAAAGTATATATAGAGAGGGCCCATGTGCTCCAATTTGCCTGTCTGTGACCTTTTTCGGACGGAATGTAGAATCAACAAATGAAAAACATAGACAGCTGCCTGCTCCGTGTCCATTAATATCCGGAGGTAATTGTGATATATATATTGCCTCTGAAAAATAATAGAGTATATATATTAAAAGATTTTAAATTTTATATTAAAAAAATAAAATATTTTTTTAATATTTATATAATAAATTTTAAAAAGTATTAATAACTAAATAAAAAATATAAAAATATATAAAAAAAAACCATATTTAAAAAAAAAAATCAGGTCACCCGGGTCATTGATCAACCGGGTTTTGCCAAGTTATTATACTAGTCAGTCTTTTAACAAATCCGAACACTGTCCATCCACCGGATCAACTCACCAAGCCAGGTTTAATAACAATGGTCGAGACCCAAGAAAAAAATAATCAGAATTTCTATTTAAGATATTTCAAAAATAGTGTAAATGTTTTTTATAAAAGAAACTAAAACTAATTTATAAAAAAATAATTAGAATTTCTATTTAAGATATTTAAAGGATAGTTTAATTTTTTAAAAAAAAATAAAAAATATTTATAAAAAACTTATTTATGATACTTCAAGTCTAGTTTAAATATTTAAAAAAATATATAAAAACATTAACTAACATTTTTGCTTAGGATACTTAAAGGCTAGTTTAAATGATTTTTTATAAAAGGTAGAAAATATTTATAAAAAAATTATTTATGATATTTCAAGGATAGTTTTAATATTTTTTTATAGAAAAAATTATAAAAAACATTAATTAGCATTTTTATTTATAATATTTCAAGGGTAGTTTAAATGTTTTTTTAGAAAAAATATTTATAAAAAAATTAATTAGCATTTTTGCTTAAAATACTTGAAGGGTAGTTTAAATATTTTTTTAATAAAAACATTAATTAGAATTTTTATTTAAAATACTTGAAGGGTAGTTTAAATATTTTTTTATAAAAATCAAAAAAATATTTATAAAAAATTAATTAGCATTTCGGTTTAAGATTCTTTTTACAATCTTCTGCTCATGAGCTTGCAAAGAACTCATAAGTTCATCCACTATTAACTTGTCCACTTCTTTGAACTCTTCAATAGCTACAACAACAAAATCAAATTTTGGATTTAGGGATCTAAAAATTTTGTCAGTAATTCGAGTATCTGAAAAGGCTTCTCCATTTCTTCTCATATGATTAACTATCACCATAATTCTTGTGTGATAATTTGAAATGAATTATGAGGACTTCATTTGTAGCAATTCAAATTCACCTTGTAAAGATTGGAGATGAATTTTCTTTATTTTGTCAGCACATTTGTATTTTTGTTGGAGAGCCTCTTATATTTCTTTTGATGTTTCTACGAAAGCAATGATTTCAAATGTCGCTTCATCAAGACCTTGATAAATGATGATCTTTGCTTTATTCTCTTTCTTTGTATTGGCTCTCAGGAGTTGTTTTTGTGACTCTGGCAAAACATCTTCTGATTCTTTGGACTTTGGTTCATCATAACCATATTGCACAATGTCTATACACTCTTGTGAACCAAGGAATGCCTTCAATCTAATGCACCAACTATCATAGTTGTCTTTGTTTAGCTTCGGGATGAGTGTTTGTGCATTTTTTGTAGTCATTTTACTCTTTAAATGACTATATCACCTTTTGGGAGTTGAATTTGGTAAAACCGACACCGTAAAAATTATTGCCAAATATTTGTAAAAAATTATTTCAAATATTTCAAATAGTTTAAATGGGTTTTTTACAATATATATATATATTGCCAATAACTTTCTCGTAGAGCAATTTGCACGTAGTGTTTCTGTGGACATGAGCTCATGGAAGCCCGTGCCTCATCCTCGCCTGCAGAGCTTAAGGTGCCACCGGGTCCAGAACCCTCTGCCATATATTAAGGTATTTGTTTTTGTAAATTTATTTATTTATTTATTTATTTTAAATTAATATTTAAAAAAAATATCAAGTATGCTTCAAAACAAATCCTAACAAGTGATTTCATGATTTTGATTAATTTATTAGGTCCATACACGATAATAATATAACAAAGCAATCCAATAACACATAAATATAGTTAAAGTTATGTTATTCTTTTAGATTGTTATAAATTAAAAAATCAGATATAAAAATAAAAAGGGAAAGGAAATATGTTCACATAAAATTAAAGTATCATAACAAATATGTGTGAAAATTAATTAGTATTTTTGTCTATGATACTTTAAGGATAATTTATTTTTTTATATAAAAATATTTAAAAAAAAATTAGTATTTAGGTTTAGGATACTTCAAGAATAGTTTAAATATTTGTTTATAAAACATAAAAATTATTATAAACATAAAACATAAAAAACATTATAAAAATTATAAATTAGAATTTTTGTTTAAAAAACTTAAAGGATAATTTAATTTGTTTTTATAAAAAATAAAAAAAATATTATAAAAAATTATTTAGGATATTTCAAATGTAGTTTAAATGTTTTTTTTATATATAAAAAACATTAATTAGCATTTCTGTTTAAAATACTTTAAGAATATTTGAAATTATTTTTATAATAAATAAAAAAAAGTATAAAAAAATTAATTAGAATTTATGTTTAGGATTATTCAAGGATAGTTTAAATTTTTTTATAAAATATAAAAAATATTTATAAAAAAATTATTTAGGATACTTCAAGTATAATTTAAATATTTTTTATAAAAAATAAAAAAATTATAAAAAAAATTTAACACTTCTATTTAAGATACTAGAAGGATAGAATAGTTTAAATGTTTTTCTATTTAAATGTTGTTACTTCAAGTGTACTGATCTATAGTCTTCTCAGTCTCTTCTTCGAAGTTTGGCCCTCCATTGTCTCTATTCAGGGGGGAATTTGGTGAGTCTCTCATCAAATACACTTTTCCATTATCTTTTCAGTGGAAAATATGGAAATTATTGGTGACCTGGAAATTCCAAGTGTCTCACGTCATTATAGAGGATAAAATATTTTGTATAAAAAAATACAATTAAATTTTACAGAAGAGAAGAGATGTAATAATCAATGATTTTTTTTAACAAAAATAATCCAATTAATTATGTTTTCCTACCTTTAAATAATACCTGTCCATGGAGGAGCCGAATCTACCATAGCAAACCATATCCTATGTCTCTTGAAAAACACACCATGACGACGTCCTTACTAAACAAACCATTCTTCTCCTTCTTTCTCCACATCCTGTTCTTGCTCCTTCACATATTCAACTCTTCTTCTTTCTTTGCTTTAGCTGAACACACTTCCTCCACAGCTTCACCATTTGGTAATAATAATACAGAAGCTGAGGCTCTTCTCCAATGGAAAGCCAGTCTTGACAACCAAAGCCAATCTCTCCTTTCTTCTTGGGTCGGCATCAGCCCATGCATTAACTGGACTGGAATCACCTGTGACAATTCTAGAAGCGTCACCGATTTGATACTTGAAAGTTTTGGTTTGAGAGGTACGCTTTATGATTTCAACTTCTCGGCCTTCCGTAATCTTTTTGTTCTTGACCTTCCGAACAATTCTCTTTCTGGAATCATCCCACATGAAATTAAAAAATTAAAAAAATTATCTTTTCTCGGTCTTTCTGGAAATCAACTTTCTGGTTCCATTCCTATAGAAATTGGATTGCTAGAGTCTCTCAATCAACTTGACTTGTCAATTAATGCTTTAACCGGTAAAATCCCGTATTCCATTGGAAAATTAAAAAATTTATCTGTCCTTGGTCTTTCTAGGAACCAACTCTCTGGTCCCATCCCTTCTTCTATTGGAAACTTGACAAGTCTATCTAAGTTCTATCTTTGGAATAACAAACTCTCTGGTTCCCGGAAACTTGACAAGTCTATCTAAGTTTTATCTTTGGAATAACAAACTCTCTGGTTCCATTCCTCAAGAAATTGGGTTGCTAGAGTCTCTCTATCAACTTGACTTGTCAAGAAATATTTTAACCGATAAAATCCCAGATTCCATTGGAAAATTAAAAAATTTATCTTTTCTTAATCTTCACGGGAATCAACTCTCTGGTATCATCCCTTCTTCTATTGGTAACATGAAAATGCTCGCTATGCTTTACCTTAGTCGCAATAATTTATCTGGATGTGTTCCTTCAGAAATAGGACAACTTAAATCTCTTGTGGACTTGAGATTATCTGAGAACAAATTTCACGGCCCATTGCCCTCAGAGATGAACAATCTCTCCCATTTGAAGTTATTGTCTTTGTGTAAAAACGAATTCACGGGTCATTTGCCAGTAGATTTATGCCATGGGGGAGTATTGGAAATCTTTACTGCTTGCTACAACTACTTCTCAGGTTCAATCCCGAAAAGCTTGAAAAACTGTACTGGTTTATACCGAGTAAGACTTGATTGGAATCAATTAACAGGAAATATTTCTGAGGTTTTTGGTGTCTATCCACATTTGGATTATATTGATTTGAGTTACAATAATTTGTATGGTCAGCTTTCTTCAAAATGGGGAGATTGTCGTAACATGACAAGCCTAAAAATCTCAAACAATAATGTTTCTGGTGAGATACCACCAGAGCTTGGGAAGGCTACTCAATTACAATTGATAGATGTGTCATCAAATCAGTTAAAAGGAGCTATCCCAAAAGATTTAGGGGGTTTGAAGTTGTTGTACAAGCTTCTCCTTAACAACAACCATCTTTCAGGTGCCATTCCCTTAGATATTAAGATGCTTTCCAATCTTCAATTCCTTAATTTAGCATCTAATAATCTGAGTGGATTGATTCCAAAACAACTTGGGGAATGCTCGAATTTACTGTTGCTGAACCTCAGCAGTAATAAATTTAGAGAAACATTCCAGGCGAGATAGGCTTTCTACTTTCTCTTCGAGATCTTGATCTTAGCTTCAATTTCCTGACTCGAGAGATACCGAGGCAACTTGGGCAACTGCAAAGGCTGGAAACTCTGAATGTCTCTCACAACATGCTTTCTGGACGGATTCCGAGCACTTTCAAAGACATGTTAAGCTTAACAACTGTGGATATATCATCCAATAAGCTACAAGGCCCCATTCCCGATATCAAAGCCTTCCACAACGCTTCATTTGAGGCATTAAGGGATAATATGGGTATCTGTGGCAACGCCAGTGGTCTAAAGCCGTGCATTCTTCCAAGAAGCAGCAAAACTGTCAAGAGAAAGAGCAACAAGCTTGTGGTTTTGATTGTACTTTCTCTTTTAGGAAGCTTGCTTTTAGTGCTTGTTGTGATTGGAGCTTTATTCATTCTCTGCAAAAGAGCTAGGAAGAGAAACGCTGAGCCAGAAAATGAACAAGATCGAAACATATTCACGATATTGGGCCATGATGGGAAGAAGTTGTATGAGAACATCGTTGAAGCTACGGAGGAATTCAACTCCAACTACTGCATTGGCGAAGGAGGATATGGGACTGTTTATAAAGCAGTGATGCCAGCAGAACAGGTGGTTGCTGTGAAGAAACTTCACCGGTCACAAACAGAAAAGTTGTCCGATTTTAAAGCTTTTGAAAAGGAAGTTTGCGTGTTGGCAAATATTCGACATCGAAATATTGTGAAAATGTATGGATTTTGCTCACATGCAAAGCATTCTTTTTTGGTTTACGAGTTCATTGAAAGAGGAAGCTTGAGAAAGATTATAAGCTGTGAGGAACAAGCAATTGAGTTCGATTGGATGAAAAGGCTAAACGTTGTGAAAGGGGTGGGTGGAGCTTTATCCTATCTACACCATTCTTGCTCTCCTCCGATCATTCATCGAGACATTACCAGCAATAATATCCTTCTGGACTTGGAATATGAAGCACACATCTCCGACTTTGGCACAGCTAGATTGTTGATGCCTGACTCATCCAACTGGACCTCATTTGCAGGTACTTTTGGATATACTGCTCCAGGTGCGTAGCTTTATTCCAACATTAAGTTACTATATAATGCGTAATAGTGAAGATAATATATAGTGTTTTTTTAGCTTTTCTTATAGAGTCTTTTTTTCATCTATTTGATAAAAAACCATGCATAATCATGTTTATTTGGCAGAGCTAGCTTACACAATGAAGGTGACTGAAAAATGCGATGTCTACAGCTTCGGAGTGGTAACAATGGAGGTGATGACAGGAAGGCACCCAGGCGATCTCATTTCAGCACTCCTATCACCAGGATCTTCGTCATCATCGTCGATGCCACCGATTGCTCAGCATACTCTATTGAAGGATGTGTTAGACCACCGCATCTCGCTTCCTAAAAAAGAAGCAGCAGAGGGCGTTGTCCACATGATGAAAATTGCACTTGCATGCTTGCAACCCAATCCCCAATCTCGGCCTACAATGGAAAAAATTTCTTTCGAGCTGACAACCAAGTGGCCTCCACTGCCCAAGGCATTTTCCACAATAAGTTTGGGAGATCTCTTCTCCACTGCCTAAGGCTACTTCTATTCGATTATCTAAGATCTCTTCTCCACATGAATTTTATCATCAAACTTTTTTTCACACTAAGTGGCCTCCGCTGCCTAAGGCATTTTGCACAATAAGTTTGGGAGATCTCTTAATCTCATAGTGTATAACTACTTCTATTCGATTATTACAAAATGAAATTTTAAATTATCACTGAAATAATTATAACAACAAAAATAATAATAATAAAAAGCTTCGTTAGCCAAAATAATCAACTGTAAAAAGGTAGCAACCAATGAATTTCCAACTTGATGTTGAATTTTCTAATGAAATGAATTTCCATCATTTCATTACAAAATTCAAACCCAAAGAACAGTCTACTGGTTGGTGAAACTTTCATTGTGGAATCTTGTAGTAGTGGAATCTTGTGCCTAATTGCCGATCAAAAAACACGCCCCGTCCGAACACCCAAGTTAATTTAAAAAAACAAATGAAAAACATAGACAGCTGACTGCTCCGTACCCATTCATATTCAGAGATAATTGTGATATATATTCGCCCTCATTCCCAGTACAAGGAGACATAGACTATCGATAAAGGCTACCATTCACCCATGATGGGCAGGATTGAAGCTTAAATAAGACCATTCAATGAATTTTTTTTATAATTAGAATTTTTATTTAGGATACTTTAATAATAGTTAAATTTTTTTATAAAAAATAAAAAAATTATTTAGAATACTTTAATTGTAATTTAAATATTTTTTAAAAAGATAAAAAAATTATAAACAAATTAATTAGTATTTTTGTTTAGGATATTTGAAGCGTAGTTTAAATAATTTTTTATAAAAAGTAGATAATATTTATAAAAAAATTATTTATGATATTTCAATGATAGTTTTAATACATTTTTATAGAAAATATTATGAAAAACATAATTAGCATTTCTATTTATCATACTTTAAGGGTAGTTTATTTGTTTTTTTAGAAAAAATAAAAAACTATTTATAAAAACATTAATTAGCATTTTTTTTAAAAACACTTCAAGGGTAGTTTAAATGTTTTTTTAAATAAAATAAATTAATTACAATTTTTGTTTAAGATACTTCAAAGTAGTTTAAATATTTTTTAATAAAAAAAAATATTTATAAAAAAATAATTAGAATTTTAGTTTAAGATACTTAAATGGTAGTTTAAATATTTTTTATAAAAAATAAAAATAATTACAAAAAAATTAATTAGAATTTCTATTTAGAACACTTAAAGGATAGTTTAAATGTTTTTATAAAAATAAAAAATATTTATAGAAAAAATTAATTAATATTTATGTTTAGGATACTTTAAGGATAGTTTAAATTTTTTTCTATAAAAAATAAAAATAAAATTATAAAAAATTAATTAGCATTTTGGTTTAGGATATTTCAAAGGTAGTTTAATTTTTTTTATAACAAATAAAAACATTTATAAAAAAAATTAATAAGGATTTCTGGTTAGATTTATTCAAGGATAGTTTAAATTGTTTTCTAAAAAATAAAAAATATTTATAAAAAAATTATTTAGTATACTTCAAGTATAGTTTAAATGTTTTTTATAAAATATATATATATATATATAAAATCAGTATTTTTTTTAGGATATTTGAAGGGTAATTTAAATATTTTTTGATAAAAAATAAAAAAATTAATTAGCATTTCTATTGAAAATACTTCAAGGATAGTTTAAATATACAAAAAAAATTAATTAGCATTTTTATTTAAAATAAAAAAATTATAAAAATAAATAATCTTACATTGTCACCATACCCAAATACTTAAAGTTTAACATGATTGTAAAATTCGAAAACTTAAAATATTTTTAAAAAATTATTAATATTAAACCGTTTGACAACGCAAGACACTGTACTACCATACTAGTAACAAGTTAAGGACATAAGCAATGCCAAATCTTTTAGAGAAGATTTGATAGGCCACTTCGAAGAGCTGCATCCTCTCCCCTCCCCTTCTTGATTAAAAGTATGTTTGATAATATGGTAATAATTGTTTTTTAAATAATTTTTTTATTTTAAAAATATTATTTTTAATATTAGCATATACAATTCAAAATATATAAATTATATTAAATTTTAATAAAAAAAATTTAAAAATTTTAAAATACAGTTTACACTAAGTTGCAAACGTTTTCTAAATGGCTGCTCCCCTTGGTACCACACATTCCCATTAGATACTTTCCATGCGAGCTGTTTTTGTATGATTTTATTACTGGGTGGGTCAGATCTTTCGTTCGGACATGCCCTGAAATGTTAGAAAAAATCCATGCTGGATCTCTTTTTTGGGGCTAAAACTGAAGTTCGGACATGCCGTGACTTGTAGGCATACCACATCGCCTTCTAGATTATTCAAATGCTTATGCTGGATGAAATGTTTCACCAAGTCCTCCTACGTATTTCTTAGGACTTTTAGGAGAGGCATACGCAGAGAAGGAAAAATCAGGGTCTAAAAGAATCTCTCTACATGGTTTGCAAATGTTCTGTCAATGGTTGTGACTGGGGCTTTACAGAAGATCCTTAATGAGAATGTCATACGGGAGTTGCTGACATGTGACATGCCATGGAATGGTTTGCAGCTACGCTGCTGCTGCTGCTGCTGCTGCTTCAGAGTTAAATTACTATACGAGCTGGCAATTACAAGAATTTTGAAGTCCTAATCAAACACAAAAGCTTGATCGAGTTGGAAAGCCAAGAGGGTTTTGATCTCTCTTTGTGGTCTTTTCAGCCTTTTATTTTTCTCAAGTATTTGCGTACGGGTTAACTTTTTCAATGCTAAGCACAAGAAAAGAAAAAAAGAAACAGTTCAAATTTATTGGCGAAAAACTAGACAGAAAACATGTAAAAAGCCAGTACCTAGAATTGCATTACCATAGAACGAAACTTCAAATACTATCACATACAGATCTTACAAGCTCAGGACTTGAGTATAGTTTTTTATCAAATTTTTTGACTTGATTCAATTTCCTAGAGCCCTAAATGTCTGACTACACATCACGTAATTAAATATGATAATTCAAGTTGAAATAAACGGTATATTCGTATATTGACTAGTGTAACTTATAAAGTCCTTTATTAGGAAAAGCTGATAGCTAATTGTACAAAAAAAAAATACTATACTCCAGCATGGAAGACAAGAAGAGTATATAATTATATTGAAAAAGAAAATGTGAGAAAATAATTTTCCCTAAAAGACTTTTTATCAAGTATGAAAACAAAATTTAATAAAAAGGAACAAATTATAGTTTCTCTAAAAGCGAAGCCACTTAACAAAAATTGAATACATTGATTAATCTACCACATAGGCAAAGGATACTGTGATAAAATTTCACACCAGCATTATTTAAAT